CCCCCAATCCCCTCAACAACAAAAAAACGACAAACAAAACAAAACAAATACAGCTGGAAGGAACAAAGCAATTGCAAATGAACGATGGAAAGACAGAAATAATGCCATGTTTCCTGAGTGCAAAATACGTTGTCTTGGTGTAAATCACATACATGTAAATGGCAGTCAGCATATCGCACGTTAAAGAGCTCCATTGGTTTCTGTGAAAGCAACAGGCATTAATGTGTTTCAAAGCTCTAAGACAAAGAACTCAGAACCAATTTTCCATCCTATATCACGTAACTGTTTCACCCTTACCATCGCCAAGAAGTATAAGATCATCTAATGCAAACCTGCTTTCAACGCCACGAACCTATGTTAAGAAATAACACATGTGTGTATGTTGAACGGGCTTTCACTCTCTGACCCATCCTCTGTCTAATGAACTAAGATCTCTATCGCTAAGTTAGAAACCTTTGAATAAAAACTAAAAGCCCACCTTTTTTCAGTAATGCCCTTGTCTTGCCATTTTAAGTTGAGGTGACGCTCTTTTAAGTTAAAAGTCAGTCAATTTTGATACATAATAAAGTAAAGGAAGGTTAAGCGATTGCGTGCGCACCCGTGTTGTTTGTATGCAGGTGCGCGCGCGCGCGCGTGTGTGAGCTTAATATGTGTGACTGTCTGCGTGTATTAACGTGTGTGTGTGTATGTATGACCAAGTTGAAAACCATCTGGAACAACAGGAATATTATCATTAGATCAAAGTTCAGACTTATGTGTTCCCTGGTCATGTCAGTATTTTTGTATGCATGTGAATCCTGGACTTTGAAAGCAGACCTTGAAAGGAGGATCAAAGCTGTGGAGATGAGATGCTTCCAAAACATTCTTGGTATCTCATCATACAAAGATCACATCACAAATGATGAAGTCAAACAACGGATCAAGAATGAAATTGGGCCACATTATGCGGACCTTCTCACTCTGGTCAGGAAACGCAAACTGCAATGGTATGGAAACATCACCCGTTCATCTAGCATTGCCAAGAAGATGATCCTGCAAAGTAACGTCTAGGGGAAAAGGAGCAAAGGCAGACCGAAGAAGAGTTGGGAGGACAACATTAAGGAATGCACAGGCCTGGAACTCAAAGACACGCTCAGAGAAGCTGAAGACCGGAAGGAGTGGAGTTTTTTAAAGTTTTAGTAAGAGTTTTACGGCACTTGCAACGCAATAAGGTCATATAAGCGCCAAAGGAGTGGAGTGTGGAGGACGCTGGTGGCCAAATCTTCAAAAGCGCCCCGACGGACATCCAGTCAACGGGATAGGTGAAGGTGAAGGTGATATACATGTAACATAATAATAATAATATATTTATGACATAGAAGGATATAGAATATAAATGATTTTAGGAGCTCGAATGTTGCTTGAATTACCGGTACCGTTTCCATAACTGATGTGTGACGCAAGCATTGGTGTGTGACATAGATATTGATGAACCTTGAACCCTCACCGCGACATGTTGTGATTGTTATCAGCTCCGTCACCACGAATACTTATACAGACCGACGTCTGTGGTGTAGCAGTTAGGTGCTTCACTGTCATGTGCAGGAGATCTGAACTGAATTCCTGAGTGGGGAGAGAATTTTTATAGAGAATCTCAGTCTTTCTGTTGGGATTTGTATCCCTCGCAGCCCGGGTTGGCCATGATAATCAGAGTTGGAAGCCCGCCTCCTAAACATTCTAAATAAGTAAATTGTGTTGATGGAGGCGCACAAAAAACCCCAAACAAACAACCTACAACATCAAAAATAAATTTAAAACATTTTCAAACAATAGATGTCAAGTTTTTTTTTAGTGAAGATCTTACTGTCGTCTGGGTTCTTCTTCAGTTTTTCCAGTAGTTGAATATTACTTCTCGGACCTTTCTGCAAAGAAACGTTTCTTCTGTCTGTCTGAGTTAGTTTTAGCTTGATTCCAGATTTCTCTTTTTTAGTTTTTGTGTTTTACGGCACTTGCAACACAACAAGGTCAAATAAGTGCCGAAGATAATTTAGAGGTGCTACAAGAGAGTAACAAACGCAAAAAAAAAGAGTCGAGATAAAGAGGATAGATGTTAGATTTTGATAGGAAAGAAGAAGTAAACCACACCAGAGCACCCGCCAACCACCCACCATGTTTCTCTATATTCTGTTGCCATTTTTTTTTCGGTTTCCCTCTTCCTCTTTTGCCTTTTAACTTCCAGAATTTTCTCGGCTGACCCAGTGAATCATGGCGTTTTATTTTTAGTTTATACATGTATGACCAAAGCAGTTCAGTTTTACTGCAGGAGAGTTGAAGTTTCTATACTACCATTCTTCCTAGTACTTATTCAACTTCATTTTCTGTCAACACGATATTCTTAGAGTTCTTCTATACCATTTATCATTAATATCGAAAAATATAATCCTGTTTTCCCTTGCTCATTGGTGGTCCTTGCTTCACATTCATACAGTGGTTTCTGCTTCAATTGAAATCTGTGGGACAGCCGGGTTTTCTTCGGTTTAGGCTAGAGGTTGCTTAAGTAGCAAAGAATGAAATTTGGGGATTCTGTTGTTTCTGCTTACCCCTGTATAAAACTGGAACTGGAAGAACCATGCTCAGTTTAAGCTGGCTCCACTGTATTGCAGTGAATAATAATGTGGTAGGCCAACATCTTATTCGTGTCTTGACAGGAGCACTTGTGTTTTTTTGGGTTTTTTTGGTAAGTGCTTTTCGGCGCTCGCAACTGCATAAGGTAATACTATGAGCGCACGGGACACATGAAACTTTTGCAGTTGGCAGGACATTTTGAATTTTGCCAGGGTGGCGGCCGAAGCATACTGTTATCGATGCCGAAGCATACTGTTATCGATTTTAGACCACCAAGGCATCTTTAACGTGCGCAACTTGCACACAGACCTCCGAGATGTTCCGGCCTTGTCCGAGAAGGCTAGGTGTAGATCTTTCCAACTAGAAGATCAGGGGTGTGGCTGAAAGACAGCAGTAAGAAGGAGCCAAGGAGTAGCAGCAGAAAGAGTCAGGAGCCCAGAGGAGGAGGGCAAAGGAGGTGAGTGGGTGAGGGCAGAAAGAGGAGATGAAAGCAGACGACAGAACATTGCTAAAGAGCAGGAAAGGAGGAGAAAGGAGACAATTATAGAGAAGACAATTTTTCTGTTGCTACTCGGATTCGAACCCGGGACTTTTGAATGAGGAATGACTGTAACCTCTAGGCCACGAGAGCCCCCACTTCTGGTAGTTTACCATCGCTTTCTGCAAGAGTTGTGTCTTTACGTGGCTGTGCCCAAAAGACTTCAATTCATCAATAAACAATATTATTCCCGTCAGTCACAGGCAACAGCCTACCCTCTTGTTAATTAGGACTCGGGTTTATTTATGCAGCACGTTGTCAGTACATTTCATGGGGGGGGGGGGGAAGAAGAGAAGAAAACGTCCAAACAACTCAGTCTACTGCATACTTCCCAAGGGACATAATCCCTAGGAATGATCGTACAGAAGGGGGGGTGGGATGAAGACCCGCATACCCGGGCCATGAGACGTCCCATGAACACCAAAGAACCCACTACAGGATTCATGGCTTTTACTGCAGCCAGCTACGTATGAGCTGATGTCGTGGGGGGGGGGGGGGGTGTGTGTGTGTGTGTGTGTGTGTGAGTGTGTGTGTGTGTGCGCGCACGTGTGTGTGAAAAAATAAAGATAAACCCATCCAAAGTTCCAATTTAACCATTGGGACCTGTGAAGAAGGTGCTGGGAGTTGACAGTATAATCCCTGTAAATGATGAAATGCACATTAGCACATTCCTGCATGGAGTAGGCCACAAAGAAATCAACCAATCCATCTTTTCTACTTCTGTCAAGCTGTAGTTCACGCCTTCTAGCAGCTTCATATGTAAAAATTTAACCTTCAATTCTTTTTAGTTTTAGTAGAGGTTTTACAGCGCTCGCAACTGCATAAGGTCATATGAGTGCCAGAAGATTAGAGGTGTTACAAGACAGTAACAAACATAAAAAAGAAGAAGGGGAGATAAGGACGACAGATGTTTGATAGGAAAGAAGAAGCAAACCACACCAGAGCACCCGCCAACCACCCACTTCAATTCTTTCCAAAAAAACACAGGCAACATTTTTAAAAATCAAACCAAACTCACAAATAACTACCCTTTGGCAAAATTGATAAAAAAATCAACCAAACCCACCTTGGCAAAACATACAAAGACAAAGAATTATGAAATAAATGATGACATAACGAAACACAGCTCAGTTTTCACCACTGCTTTAATCAAAGAGAACACAGAACAACCTGCATAAATCAATAACCATATTATGGAAGTTGTAAATGAACACCCAAAGTAACCGTTTCCAGGGACCCAAGAAATAGCATGATAAAAGTGAGCCCAAAAACTTGGCAATGAAATATTAGACACATATATGACTTAAAGACTGTACCTCAAAATTACATGAAAATCTACCACATCCAACAGTTTCACACACGAATCTTTTTCTTCAAAACACACAAATCTTTTTCTTCAAAATGATTTGCAGTTGAGAAAATGTAAGATTATAAGGCGGACTCTTTGACTCTCATTTACCATCCTTAATCTTTCAAAGAGCAACATGCTACAGTTGAATATAACTGAACTTCAATCAAAGGTGAATCAGACCTAATCCTACAAGGGAATGTGGTAGCGCAATCTGGGAACCACACTCATGAAAACTTGGAGAAGTGAGCATACTAGCACATCTCAGTACATCCAGATTACTGCTTAACAAAACATTATGTAATCATTTGTGCTGGTCTGCAACGTGAGAGAGAAAATTGTACCTGCACCCATGCTGATGCTAAAAGTATGACTTGGAGAAAATGCTAGAATGTCAGACAGATTGAATGGAGGCATGAAGATGAGAGTGAGAGCCGCTATCTTGGACGTAAGTATGTGGCCTTACAGTTCACCTGTAACAAATTGTTGACAAGATATTCAAACGTTCTAAGCCAAGAAACAACATTTTTCAGGAGTAAAAAAAACCTGTTTTTACAAATTGTATCTACATTATGTATGTTTTCTAGCTTTTTTTCCAACATTTAGAAAATGAATTTCAACCAAGTATTACACAGCTATATATACGCAACCAATACCGCAGGTTAAGAAACAGCCATAACAAATTTTTTAGATTAAAACTTTGGGGTTAGTAGGCTACATCTGAACAGCTAGCAGACATTAGGAGGTCTACAGAGTAGGACAAAGCAAGACCTAGGAAATAGGTCATGTGCAGGTGCATGATCAGACACAGCCGGTGTGTTGAGGTCAAGGGCTACCGAGAAACAAGACACAGGGGGAAAATATAGGAAAAAACAAAGAAGAGTACCCATCAAACTTAAAAACAAATAAACACACCACACGACCACAGGAGATCTTGCTATTGGGACAAGTTATGAGTACCAAGGAAAAAACCTGAGACGTGACAGCACAGGAAGTATATCACAAAAAGAAACAACACACAAACAAGCAAAACAAGAGCACAGAAAGAATCAAAACTTGAACTTTTAAATCTTACACTACAGAAACTGAAGGTAGACATCGTAAGCACATTTTTCCCAGAAAAGCAAAAAACTACAAGCATAAAGTGGTAACAGTGATCTGAAAGAAAACATGTTCAGACATCAAATTGCAGTGGTAATCGTTTAAATCATGGACTGATGACGGCAAGATAACATTTGGGAGCTGTTCAAATTGTCCTACTCTCTAGCTACTGGGGGAAAAAAAAACCTCAGGAAATATTGGTAAGAGAGTGGTCTGCATCAATAGAAGAAAAAAAATCCTTTTTTTTCCATAACTTTCTCTACATAGAAGGGTCTGGTAAAAGTTCAATGATGTTCGCAACTGTATACGGTCATATGGTGGATGAGTTTACACAAACAGTCAACTTCATAGTTTTTCTCAAATAAAACACAAGTAGGGTGGCACTTTCAACACAGGTCCGAGACACCATACAGAGTTTGCTTGAGTAGAGCAGTATAAAAGAGCTTATGTATGTACAAGATGACCCCCTCCCTGATCCCTTTCCAAACATTGGGCTAAAGGACATAGTCGAGCTCGTAGCGCAGGTATTGGTTCTTTGCGTCGTTGGGGATGCGGGGGTAGGACGGGATCATGCCGTCCTGGGCGCCGATGTACACTGTGTTGTACACCTTCCAGTACACGTCCCGGACTTTTCTGGCTGGGTGGAACAGACCCTGGGGAATACACAGAAAGTCAGTTTTTAGTTTTAGCAAAGAGTCTACATAACAAGAGGTGCCACTTCTCTCTTTGAGCCAATTAAAAAAGTGTCCTCAAAATTCGGTGGCGCTCTCTTCACAAAAGCGCACCTTTTGCGAACAGAGTTATCCTACTTGAGTTTTAAAAAATCAAAGTGAAACTAGCAAGTTTTTGAATGAATTTCGGAAGAACGCTTTTTTAAAATGGTTACGCTGACAAAAAACCTCTTCCAGAGGAAAGGGTGATTGTTTTCTTCGTTTAATTTGACTTTAGAATGAAAGGCTAGAGGTCATTAAAATTAAAAGAAACTAAAACTCCACACTGAACGAACCCAAACTGCTGATGAACAGCAGTCGATCTGCGCACGCAAGGAGGTGCTATTCCTATTCTTCTTCTGGAAAAACGAAAGAGAGCTTCAAAACAGACTGCAGCGCCATCTGAAGCAAAGAGCGAACTTCCTGCGGACACTTTTTTGGCTGAGTGGCCCATCTTGTTATGTACTATCTTTGGTTTTAGTAAGAGTTTGACATTTGCAATGCAATCACATCATGTAAGATGCCAAAGATTAGAGGTGTCACTAGAGTAGTGTAACATTCAAATAATAGGAGGAGCAGACATAAGGACAATAAATAGATGTCCCACATACACAGAGAGGATGTTTAGTTTTAGTTTTAGTAGGGGTTTTACGGCGCTCGCAACTGCATAAGGTCATATGAGCGCCAGAAGATTAGAGGTGTTACAAGAGAGTAACAAACATAAAAAAGAAGAAGGGGAGATAAGGATGATAGATGTTCGATAGGAAGGAAGGAGCAAACCACACCAGAGCACCCGCCAACCACCCACGTAGAGAGGATGAGGAAAAGCTTACACTACAAGAGTTAAAGAATTGAAAAGGGCCGACTCTTATTCAAATTTTACAGCTTTTGGCTCCTGCATCACACTTCAAGGAACATTCTAGATGTAGGATTGGAATGATATAACTCTCTCTACATTTCCATCAAGTAATAATTCACAAGAAGAAGTAGAACGAAGCAAATTACTCTTCAGTCACTGACAAAATCGACAGCTACATTTTAGTTTACTTTGATATCAGTAAAGAGAAGCTCAAGACATGGAACATTAAAAAAAACAAAACAACAACAACCATGGATGTCAAATACACCTGGTGAAAATGAAGGACACACTAACCATGGGTCTACCTGGGGACAGCAAGTTGCCCCCCCCCCCCCACCCCAGGAGCATATTTAAGGTTGTTTTAAAAAAAAAGAATTTTAGTAGGAGTTTTACAGCACTTACAACACAAAAAGCGCATATAAATGCTGAAGATTTGAGGTGTTGCAAGAGAGTAGCAAACAAACAAGGAGAGATAAGGACAACAGATGTTTGATAGGAAAGAAGGAGCAAACCACACCAGAGCACCCATTAAGCACCTACACATTTTATTATATAGCTTGTTCACTTTCGTCTGACTGTGTTAAAAAAATTTCTAGCTCATTGAGGAATCTACCTATGCCCACGAAACTTTGCATGGCACTTCTGCAGGCCAGCTACCAAACAAAAATGTTTTTAAAAAAATCTTGATCCAGTAATAAAAATATTTTTCTCTTTGGGCATTGGACCCTATATTAAAAACCGCTCTTTGGATGTATACACAGGATCACTAAAACAAACGACTTGCCTTGCCCACAAATTGCTCATTTTAAGACAGCGACACCACCCTGCCCCCACATTTCAGTGTAATCTTGTCGATTTCATCCCTCGGCTGTTAGACGTCTCCATGTGTGTCTCGAAAAATACTCACCTTGTTTCTTGAATCGTGTTTCTTAGGCGAACATTAGATAGTGGTGTTGAGGAGAACTTGTCAACTTTAAAATGTTTTAGGAGTATGCTGTAAATCCCTTATTATTTTTTTTCCCGCTTTAGGCTTACATCAAAGAAAACTTATTGGAACCTTAGTTTGCAGTGACTTTTATGAATGGACTTTTGGATTCTGTTGGTCGCTTAACTTTTAGACCTGTATGCAAAGACCCAGAAAGACCAAATAGAGCGATTTGTTTTTATCCTGTTTTAACCATGGTCAGACGAAAATGAACAAGCTATAGGACAATACAATGCAAAATACACCCCAAAGTCCCACTTTTCTTTGTGATAAAATAGTAAAGGGCTAGCTTTCACCGAGAGAGAACATCAAAGTTTTGAAAAAAAACAACCCCCCCCACATGAAATTCTTGATACTAAGCACCCCTGTGCATATGCACATTTTCCAAGAGTGATGCAACAAATATTGGGTAAAAGACGTACCTGGAGAGTGTACTGGAAAATTTTGGAAGGCCCGACAGCGACTCTGAGTCCTTCCACAGCTCCCATGAAGGCCTGCACCACGTGGGGCGAGTTCTCAAAAATGTTGGGCCACACATAGTTGAGCAGATGCACCAGGGCATCCTCGCAACCAAAGCCACTCACACCCAGGGCCATGTGCTGGATTGCTGCCATCGCTGTCTGTCGGTGCACCAGATCTCTGCACAGACAGAACACACAGAATTAGTAAGGAAAGAATTTACGACTTACATAACATTATATATTTGGCAGGCTGTTCAAATGTACGTATCCGAGGAAGCAAAATTTTTCAGTAGAGGTTAAAAACTGTTTACTTCTTTTAACATTTTGCCACCTCATCTCGCCGATTGGCGATGTTTACCACTCAGTTTTTTTGGATTTCCCCCAAAATATGATGGCAAAGTGTTAAATATACCTATGATATGCATCTTTTCTTGTTTTTTCCAACATTTAGAATTCCAATTTTGACAAAATATTTCTTGAATACATGCAAACATATCACAGATTAAGAAACTGCAGTATAACAAATGTTTTCAAAACTTTAGGAACAGAACATCTGAACAGCTGGCTGATGATATTTGATTTTTAGAGAGATGCCATCAATTCTTTATCATGAAAGCGCTCTGGCTTGGTGAAAAGGCCTGAAGAACCAGATCAAGTCAAAGCAAGCCAAGTACTCATTTACCTTACTGCACAACTTCCGTTATGAAACAGTGAACTATCATGTTTGCTTACATTTTTTTTGTTTTGAGTAAAGAGAAGCACATCAACACACTACCATTCAGTGCAGGGAAAGAGAAAGTGGACACAGGAACAAGAGAAAGAAAAGAAGCAGTAACTTCTAGAGTGCCCTCCAACAACCAGCATCAGCTCCTGCCCTGCTAAAATTAAAACAAGACCAGAGAGAGCTTTCCTCCCCATCTCCTTTACCAGAGCAGTGAGATGACTTAAGGAGACGAGCACACTTTACTACAAAGCATCAAAGAGTGAAAAAAAAAGCTCCTTACTAATTGTAGCAATTATAGCATTGTAGTTTACATGAAATATTAAGGGGGGGAGGAGGAGGGAAGGAGGGACACTCCCCTAAAAAAAAACAACCCACACGCAAAAAGGCTGTATCAATGACAGTATCAATAGTATTATACCTGTCCATAAGAGCATCCTCCAACAATGGTGCCACAGGGTAGATGTAGTCTTTGCCCATTTCCCCGATGTACTCAAACATGAATGAGAGCGATTTGAGCACGCCGTTCTGCACATTCAGCTCGGGCACTCTGTACTCGTTCATGAGGGCGGGCAGGACGGTGAAGGGAGAGCAGGTCTCTGCCACGATGGCAATGGCCACTGTGGTACACACTCGGTTCTGTCGCTCCTGGACCTTCAAGTTGTTCAACAGCGTGGCCAACACATCGTGGGGGCTGAGGACAAGATAAAAACACTGGTCAAACAAAATATTCTATCCCCTGTGAATGAAAAATATGTGAAGCATGCCGACAAAATCAGTTAGTTCTTGCAATCCGCGATGAAAATATCGGCCAAAAATGGACAACTGTCAAATTTGTAGATTTTCAACTGCTGCCATTTTCTTAAAGTTTACTGTATCTTTTAATCATTTCATACTAATTAATTGTACAAAGTCAGCCTGTAAATTTGACATACCTATTTTCAAAGGGATAAAATCCCAGAAATATTTTATTTTGTCAGTACATCTCACATATGTATCTCCCTAACCACAGTACAAAGAACATGAGCAACAGCTGTCATTTCCCTCAATTAGCTGCTACAAAAACTTTATCCACAGCAAAAGCCAATAAATTTTTTCTAGTATGCCTAAGATTTAAAAAAAAAAACCAAACATGCTTATAATTATAGCAACACAGTAGAATAACAATTCCAACACAGCTCTCATTTCAATGAAGAAACAGTGGAAGTACTTTTGAAAATCTATACATCCCTCAATTTTTTAATTAAAAAAAAAAAAGCAAACTTAAAGATTTACTGTAAAGCAAAGGAAAATACTTAAGCTTTATTTTTCAGACAGACCTTGAGTTCAACAAAAAATCAGTCATATTGCAGAGACATCACATCACATCTCTTGTCTTTCGCAATATCAACAAGACTGCAATCAATCTTTTAACACATTACACCCTAACTCGCCCGGGAATTCCCTTACGCGCTCCACCCTGACTCGCCCGGAACCGCCCGCGCCGACCCATCGTCTTTAGAAACGAAAGTCTCGCCTTGATGAGACTCTGGGGCCGGGATTTTGATTTGCATAGTATAGCAAAAAGTTTCTTCTTTCGTTTGATACCGAAACGAAATTTTTCGGGTCAGTAGTTTTAGTATTAGAGCTGATCGAAGTGCGATCGCGTTACAGACACTTCGAAAGTGTCTCGACTTGTTGAAAAGCGACACAATTGAGTTCGAAAACGAAAATGACGATGGATTTGAGCAAAAACGAGCATGTGACAAATCAGATGGCTCCGATTTTGATGAAAACGTTGTAGGAAGAGTTTGGGGCGATTCCGATTGATCAGACGGAGAAAATCTAGTATTTAGATCTAGGGCCCGACCGCGAGGCTGAGAGTGAGAGTGAGAGGTCGGACACCCCGATTGAACTAAAGTTAGAACATTTCCCACAGTTTGTACATACATAAAGTTATATTTTTCTGAAACTACATTCAGTTTTCTTTTTAACTTTTATTTTTTCAGGATTTTTGGAATTTGTTTAGTATTCATAAAATGTTTTTTTAAAGGCTAGTATTCACGGGAGGTGGGTTCTTTCCCCTTGCTTAGGATCTAACAATGGACTTCCCGTCCAGACCCTTAGGGTGTAATGTGTTAACAATGAAGCCTTTAGTTGGTATAGATGGGTGGACGACCCAGACCACCCCCTCCCACCACCCAATCAATGAAGCTAAGGGGTTCACACACAAACAACCCCCCCCCCCCAAAAAAAAACCAACCCAACCCCAAACAAACAAGCAAAGTGTCAAATTAACAGACCCGATAGCTTTGGCAATGTAACCAAAAGTGTTGACAGTGGCTCTGCGAATTGCCTTCTTGTGTGCCTTCAGCAGCTCCAGGAGCTCGAAGCAGATCCTCATCCACTCTCTGGCTCCCACAAACTCAGGACCACGGTCAGCAATACGACCCACCAGATCAATGCAGTTCTCTTGCACTTTTTCATGTCTGGAGAAAAATAATACATGTAATGACATTTTGTACACGATTCCAAGAGAAGCACTTACTCTACAATGATCATTTATTGTCATAAAATTGTAAGGCAACATATATAGAAATATTATTTCAGTTTTAGTTAGTTTTATGGCACATGAAACACAAATAGACTGTCTTCTGATTTTTGTTTTGGTAAGTGTGTTGCAGCACTTGCAACAACATATGGTCATATGAGCGCGTGGGACACATTTAAATGTTTTAACTTTGGTAGGAATGAATAATTTTAAATTTTTATCGGGTTGCAGCCAAAGCTTGCTCTTATCGATTTTCAACCTCCAAGGGATCTTTAACGTGAGCAACTTGCACACATGATCTTCAAGATTTTTCACCCTTTTCCGAGAAGGCTAGGTGTTAAATCTTACCTACCCTATGATCATTGAGTTTGGCTGAAAGACATCAGTAAGAAAAAACAAGGAGTAGAAGTAAAAAGGCTGCAGAAAGAGTCAGGAGTTTGGGGGGGGGAGGAGTGGAAACGAAAGCAGATGACAGTACATGGATAGAGTAAGAGAGCAGGAAAGGAGAACATTTTCCGTCCCTGTCAGGTTTTGAACCTGGGACCTATTGAATGAGAGGCAAACACCGTAATCTCTAGACCATGAGGGCCCCCAAATAAATTGTATAAGTGCCAAGTATTAGAGGTGTTACAAGAAAGTAACCAAAAAAAAAGAGGGGAGATAATTTGGTTTCGCCCTAACAATGTGCTTAAAAGTGGATTCTGCAATAAGCTAGAAACTACTGTACTGAGAAAAATTTTTTAAAAAAAATTAACAGTTGCAAAAGAATCCCGTGCAAGTGATGTATCTGCACATCTTCACTTTAAAATTTGTAAAATAACAAACAATCATAGATTGTAATTAAGTCAGAAAATAAAAAAATCTGACACAAAATTTTTTGGGCAGATACAATTTAAAGCCGACCTTCAGAGTAAGAACATTGATCGTAACAGCTCTCAGAGTACTGTGAATCTCACCTGTTTTTCAGGATGGGGGTAAGTCTGGGAAGCAAATCCTTGATAGGTGGAGTCATTTTCGTCATACCAATAACGTTGACAATGGACTTGAGCGCACCAAGGATCGAACCCAACACCTCTGGGTACTCCTCTCCCAGGTACTCATACAGTACCACACCCAAATGACCCATCAGCTTTTCCTGTAAAAAAGGCAATAAAAGTGTAAGATGCAACTCTTTCCAGCATTCACAGCTACATTAACTGGGAGTTTAAAAATGAGCAAACTGGGAGGGGGGGTGGGGGAGAAAGAAATGATACTGAAACCATTAACAAATATACGTACCGTTAATCAATTGTCTCCCAGAGGCCAGCGAGACCATTCTGGTATTCTACAAATGGATATTCAATTTTCTCCTACAAGGGCATATTTGATTTGTTTGTCGATAGTTTGAATGAGAAGAAAAATGTCTTTCAATCTACATTGTTTGTTTATGGCTGTTCATTAATGATTTCTAAGTTTTGACGATTGCACAAAAACAGTTTTAACTTTGTAAACTTTCGAAAAGTGACATATGCCAGGGTCTTACATTGATCAGCCGATTAGAGAAGAGGGAAAGAAGAGTCACGAGCTGAACTACAAACCTCTTGTGAAGTCTTCATGACAATGGCGATACGAGAGATGAGATCTGCTGCCTGCTGCCGGACCTTGGCAGACTTGTTGTTGAGACGCCACAGGATGGTACCGCACATCTGGGCCAGGTAAGGCTTCACTCTCTTGCTCAGAGCGTTGACCACAGTGCCAAAGCCGTTCAGCATCACCACATCCTGGTCAAAGTACGGATAAGACAAAGAGTTGTTTTAATATTCTTTATTTCAAAACATGCAAATTCATACAAGTTCAATCAAAATAAATTACAATTCAAAGACAAAAATATCAAAATTAACAACAACAAATTGGAGATAACGACAGATTATTCCAAAAAGTAACCAAAAAAATCCCAAACCATTCCACATTATTCTAAAAATTACAAACAAACAAGTTTAAACATTATAATATCATCTCCACAGAAAAAAAAAGCACTTCTTCATTCATTTTAACCACAGTAACTTTTCCTTTCTTTTAGCATGAATGTTCCATCCAGAAGTGATGATTCCCTATGAACAGACATTATGTTGCCATCATAAATGAATTGATTTTAACATTACCCCTTTAAAGAACTGATACTTTCAATCACTATCCTGTACATTCTAAAACGTTTTCCGAAGCCGTTGCCTCTTGAAAAAGTTTCTTAATAATTTAGAAGTGCTGAATCTGATATGATTCAAAGACTAAACCACTCAACAAAACTCCTAAAAACTCCAGAACAGATTCCCCAGCTTTCAGAAATTTATTCTCTTTTGAAATTCTCAGAGAAAACATCTTTTGTAATAGCTTCAGTTAACTTATGTGAAGTTCTCCATCCGACTTGTCAGACACTCCCATGGATCAAAGGCTGAGAAGCTAGAGGCCTCAAACCTTCCATCCAGGCCAAAGCATGCAACCTGTAAATGTGGAGTTTCCTAAAAGCTCCACTTTCTCCATGTCTGGCAAAATAAACTAAGATACACATTGCTATCTGCATGCAATTAGGACAAGCAGTTAATGATATGACAGACTAAACAAAGCATCTTGTTTAGCAAAGAATACCAAGAGATTAAGCCCAATGCTGAGAAAGCTTAACGGCTGAAGATACACAGAATGCCAGAAGTTGAGAGTGTAGATGTTAACAACAACAACAAAAAAAGGGCAGATAACAGCAATAATGAATGCATTAGTAATAAAAAGTGTTGCTGAAGATTTTGAGATATTTTTTAGGATATTTTAAAAAACATTACCACTGAAGTGACACAATCTTCTGATGTCGAAAGTACACAAAATAACCTTTCAGACCATTCGAGATAAGGAAGAGCCAGACAGTACATTTTACTATACTTCAAAAGTAATTGATGTGCAAGAGCCCCCCCCCCCCCCCCCCCCCAAATACTGTTAAAGGTTTTGGGCTGCCCATCCACCACCTTGTTTTCCTGGACCACTACGAAATGTATTATCTGTGACAGCTGAATACCTTTGCATTAAACCCTTCTTTTCAGTTGGACAACTCCCTATTAACCAAAGAGCACTTTTCATCACCAATATAAATGAGCATGGGACCTACAAACGGTTATGGATAATGTTTCAAGACTACTCTAGCTTAAAAGATCTCTTTTGAATTTCTAAAGATCAAGACCAAACCATCGATATATAAACAGTAGTGTAACCTTTTACACAAATCTTTTTCCTATACAAGGATGCAAGGGATAGCCGAGAACTGAAAGGAAAACATTCAAACTTCAACAAACAAAATAAAGCAAAGCACACCTTTAGCCACTAATACAAACGCGAGAAAGTAGAAGTAAATCTAGTAAAAAGAAAACTTGCATCTGTGGTCTGCTCCTGGAAGGCATACAGGATGCCGTCAATCAGCTGCTCCTCCAGACGGGAGTCGATGTCGGCTGCGCCCAGGTTGGACATGATCTTCTCAATGGTCTCCATCACCATCTTACGGTACTGCTCAGTCTCATCCTTCAGGTCGTCCACCACTCGGCCGATGATCTCAGCAGCCCCCACCTTGTTCGCAATCTCAACAGTGGTGTCCACCAGCTACAAAAGAAAAGAAGAAATTGTTATTGGATTTTTATTTCTACTGAAAGGTTCAAAGAAAGCAGTCAAGGTCAATATCGCCTAAAGAAACAGTACAATTCATATATCACACATGTGAAGAAAAAAAAGGCAGCAAGATATTCACTGTTAACCATATGAATACTCCATTTTAAGAAATGTACAAACCTGTCTGTAATTTCTTCTGTCCAAAGCCATTCTCTGGTTCCAGAAATTCTTGAAGAATGGGGGCAAAATCTCATCCTTGATGTACTGTGACTCCACACCATCTGTTGCACAACACTGCTTCACGACCTGTCAGGGAGAAAGGTGAAAAGTGATAGTTACTGACAAGTTCACTACAAATATTAAGTACAGATAAAACCATAGTAACTTTTGATAAAACACGAAAATAATAGCTGAAACAGACTTAACTGATCAGCTATTCCTAATACCTTCATACTGAAATCCTCTGAGTTTTTTTGTGTGTTTTAGCCAAACTGATGATTATATATCTAACGACAATTTAAAAGAAAAAAATGTAAGCTTCGCTTTATAAGATAATGTCCAAAGCAAGATGCTATTTTAAATGCAAAATGCTTTGCAATTTATTCACAGACAATTTCAGTTGGACTTTCCAAATCGAACAGATTCTAAAATATTGGAATAAGAAAAAAAAGAACAGAAAATGAGTTTAACTTCTGACGAATCATTTGGGGGCATTCTCAGTAATGCTTACCTTCAGCACAATTTTCTTCATTTCCTCATCAGGAGACTGGAACTCTCGAATAAGGATCAACATCACTTCCCTGGTGTAGTAGTTAGCGTACTCAGCATCCATGAGAGGAATCAAATAACCAATGGCTTTCAAGAAAGCAGCCAAGCCCTGAAATAATAACACAACACTCGTTACATCATAGAAACTAAAATATGGTAAAACAAAAATACAGTCAAACCTGTGTAAGACGGCCACCCATTGTCAAGGAGAAAAGTGGCCGTATAAGACAGGTGGCCGTATAAGACAGGTGGCCGTCTTAGGCAGGACTGATCAAGATGAAGAAAACCAACCATTCCCATCTAAGGTCCCAATCGAAAGTAGCCGCTATTGCTGTTGTTTTTGTTGCTGTTGGTTTGTATTTTGTTTTTTATTTTCATTTTGTTGCTGATTTTGTGAAAGGGTGACAATAAAACGAAACATGTCAGACAAGGAGGTCTGAGTGCTGGGGTAAAACAAACACATGGGTCGCCACCACTCGGAGAACGAGTGACGCTTCTGTCACAAGTTCATGCTGACGTCCTTTGTTACTTTGTTACAGACTGGGTAAACAGTGACCACTCATCTCACTTACGATTTGTGTATGAGTTCTCGGCGGGGCTTATGGGTTATGAGCCATACGTTCTTATGACCGTCTTGGTTATGAGGGATCACATGCTTACCTCACCAGATGCTGAACATTGGTACCTATTTATTGGTCAACAGTGGGAAGGGCCTACGCAACATTATCGGTTGGAGGGACTACCCAACAATATAATGACAGGTGATTGGATTATCACGGCTCGCCCATAACGCCAGGGGCCAATGCACAATTTATGACAAAACGTAATGGAGTCACTAAGGAGGCCGTCTAAGACAGGTGTTTTTGTTTGGTGTGATAGGGGTTGTGTGTTGAAATATGTTGGCCGCGGCGGACAGGTGCCCGTTTTACAGAGTTAAATTATATAGAAAAAACGCAAGGGGGGAAAAGGTAAGTAGTCCTTTGTACAGGTTCGACTGTATATTTGCTCACGTGATTGTTATTTTGCTGTTACACCACAAAGCTTGTCTGTACTTTCAAGAGGATATTCAAAATGAGGAACAAATTTTAAAACTAAACATTTACTTTGCCTTCTTATTTGAAAAAAATGTCAACTTTTAAGTCAAAAGATGCCCCTCACCCAGGCAAACAAAATTTGCCCAAACCAAAAGTTCCACTTACAGATGTGCCAGCTGGCTACGAAAAAAAATCCAAAAAAACTTTTCAGACCTTTTAGGAATGTCTGAGCAGGGACCCAAACTTCACTGACCATATTGTAGAAAATACTTTGCATCAAAACTATTTTTATATATCTGGATTTAACAGGAAAATCTGCACCTCTGTATAAAGGGACACCGAAACAGTGATAGTAATTTTAGAGCTGGGAAACAATAGCACCATACACCCCGTCCAACTTAACATTTCAGCAACTGACCTTTCCTCTGTGCTGCCTGATACCCTTCCAGAGGGGCTTGAGGACACTGTCAAAGGACTCGATGCCGTACGGAGTAGCAGCCTCAGCCAAGGCGGCGAGAGCCAGGGCAGTGATGGTTCGTACCTTCTGTTGTTCATCAACCAAGCCTAAACAGGAAAAAGACAGAATATATGAAAATATTTAAATTATTTAAAAGGTGTATCTAGTAGAAACTAAGATATACTTTTTATGGTTGTGAAAGCTTTTATTTGGAGCATAGTAAACAGCATTTCAAATTCTAAATGCGCTAGAAAGTTACATACCAAGACTTACGTTTATTAATAATCCTTTTCCTCGAATAGACAATACTGAAAACTACAACATCATGAATCATTATTATTCAATAGAAACAACAGTTTACAGCACTTCAACTACCACACAAGAAATTATTTAAACAGAAAAATTATTTGAGCTGATCAGACTTTTGCAAGTAAACAGAGTAAAACTTCCACAAAGTAGTCCCAGATACGACACCTACCATGTTCAATGATTTCCACCAAGCTCTTCAAATGAGGAAGGATTGCACAACCCATCAAGATGGAAATCTGTTGCACGATTTTGATACCAGTATGCCTGGCCTGCCAAGACTTCTTGCTCTTGCACACAGCCTTCAGGAAGGGAAGCAGAGAGGGGATTCCCAGGGCCGAGGCCACCACAGCGAAGGCACGGGCCGTTGTGTTACGGACATACTCGTCCATGTTGTCAATGTCAGGACGCATGGTGGCGATCATGGTGGCCAGACCAGCGGCCTGAGGAGGAGAAAGAGGGGCCTTGTAAGTCTCAATGGCAAAAGCACAAATACACTGCTCAGTGCAAGAAGCCATCATATGTCACTTTTCATAATGACATATAGTCACTTTTCATAATGACATATAATGGAGTCTTACGCTAAGCTGTCAATATCACAATCAGCAGTTCAAGTAGCTATTTACTTGGTCAACAGACGAAGTCTTTGGAAAAATTTCCTCTCACATCTGTCACACAGAGTGATCAGTTATCCGCTCTTCTTCAAAAAGGACTGACAATATTGTTTGTTTTAGTAGAGCTTTTACGGCGCTGGCAACTGCATAAGGTCATATGAGCGCCAGAAGATTAGAGGTGTTACAAGAGAGTAACAAACATAAAAAAGAAGGAGGGGAGATAAGGACGATAGATGTTTGATAGGAAAGAAGGAGCAAACCACACCAGAGCACCCGCCAACCACCCACACTGACAATATGTACAAGACATAGAGTAACAAAGACAACTATTTACTGTTCTGAATGTAAGAGGCTTTGAGGGGCCACGCATCTTCCACTAAAACTTTTTCAGCCTGTCAAATATGGATTGATCTTTTCCGATTTCATGTAAAAAGGCAGCCATTTAAAGAAAAACTGCAATTTTTAAAAACTTTTGCGATAGACTAAAACCCCCAGTTATAATACAATTGCCACACAGATCCTATGTAAACTCTAGTTCACAAAACCATAAAAAGAAAACAACAACGTTCTACAAACCTTTGCCAGATTAGAAATAATTTCTCTGCCCTCCACTCTGGCATAATAGTCTTCATCAATGAGCAGGGGTTCAATGACCACAAGGATCTTGTGTACATATGGTCTGACTAAGTCATCCAGCTTGTACAGGATTCTGTCGATGACTTTCACCAGCAAGTGACGTTCTTGGTCCTCGAGTGTAGGGGACATGAGAAGGGGAAGGATCTGGTTGAACAAAGGACCAGCTCCAAACTCCCGGGCTTTGTCTGTGATTTGACGTAAAGCAGCCTGGGGAAGCACAAGGGCATACAGAACTTTACACAAAACTAAAAACCAGAATGTGGTCAAGCATACCCAAAGGAACTTAAAGACAGCAGTGTCTGTGCATTAAGAACAGACAAAAGTCCACGCATCATGGAATGCAGCAATTCATAGTCAAGCGTGGGGTGTCCTAAAGGCTTCACTTTATCATCAAAATACCACATAACGACACTGGATGTATGTTGTGGTGCAGGGGGAAAAAACCCTTAAAAACCTTGCTGTGGGTTATTTCTTGGGAGAACACATAAAAAGATCAACTGAAATGAAAAACATTTTCTCCCTCATTAGAAACAATTTGTCGACTATTAACAAATTACAGTTGAAATTGGTTAAGATGGCCGCCCACTGTCGAGGAAAAAAGCAGTTGTCTTCGACAGGTGGATAAATTACTGTGTCATTATAATGTTAAAAAACCCAAGGGAGGAAATGGTAAATGGTTGCTTGTACAGGTAATTGTTTTAGGCAGGCTGCTGAAGTAGCAGGTTTGAACCTTTTCCAACAAAAAGGAAACTCATGAACTAAAGAAAAATTTAACACTGGTGTACAGAGGAATGTTAATTAACTTTTTTCAATAAAGACTAAACAAAAAATTGACAACTGCAAAAGGTTTCCCTACCAATATTGCTACTTTTTACAATACTACATACTAACAAATGATAATTCTTAGTACACACTGGCCAATGTCAAGGAACTTACCTTTCTCATTGGAGGTGTGCCGTTCTTGATCTTCAGCAACAGCTTCATGATTTTCCTTTCCTTCTGCTCCTCTGGAGACAGGGTGTCTTCATCAACATCCACCTAGAACAAACACGACAACATGTGAATTAAAACTAGTTCCTTAATCATTTACTCAGGGTCAGAGCACCGTATAAGGAAATGCTACTACATCAGATGACACAGCTCTTAAGATATATTCTCAGGGGGCCAAGTGGAATAAAAAGAAGAATAAGATGGTAAAACGATGTCAATAATTGACAAGAGATGGTACAGTCAGAGCACCAGAGGCAACATCAGATAGGGAGACATGCAGCAAAACAATGCACTGACAGGAAGATGAACCTCTTGCAGTTCATATTGTATGTGAATAAACAAACTTGTACAGCCTACAGTTTGTGTACATTGCATCGTCAGGTTAAAACCATTCCCAGTTGGAGACCCAAACCTAGGTCACCTTCATGGGCCATTGGTGAACCCTAACATTCAAATGATCTGATGGAAAACAATTTCTAGTAAAACAATACTGTCTAAACAAATGGAATATACATTAGATCATTAATCTTCCTAAAGACCTATCACATGGTTGACTAAACTAAGCAGATCTCTGAGGATAGATGTTCAAAATGCCACTTTATAGAATCAAATTTGCCTGTGTGACTCACCAGCAATTTGTCAAAGTACTGCATGTCATCTGGTTTCATCATAGGCAGATTTCCTTTGGGCTGCATGTCTACCACCATCTCCTTGCTGCTTTTGTTATCAGGGGTCTGCATACGGAATCCCATGGGCGTCCCAGCAACTGGTGTAGGAGTGGCTAAAAGTTTACGAGCTGGAGTGCGGATGGGGACATAGCCTGCTGGAGGGGGCAAAACCTGCAAAACGAAAACAATTCATTATTAAAAGCACACAAAATATTATTTTCAACCCATCACCAACTGCGACAAAAAAAAAAATTCTACCACAATCCGAAATCCACAAGCTCGGAAAAATATCAAACTACATAGAAAACTTACGAACATAAAAGTGAAAGCACTAGGGACATGCACTTCAAGCAATTGATTTCAAGACCACTCTGTCTTGTTATTTGAAGCAAATAAAAACAGAAATATTTCTAGTCATAACAAAATTAATGTACACAGCATTCATTTCAGGGGGAATCTTGGCACTTTCCAATATTCACACACAAAAAAGAAGTGAGAAGGTGTAATGATTTTCAAATTTTCAGCTATCAAGGGAGTCTTTTGTGTGCACAACAAAAACCTCCACATTTCTGAGGATTTTGTCCTTGTCTTGCGAGTCTAGTTTACGAAAATATGAGCTTACACATCACCTTTTAATTCAACTTACTCTCTCTCATAAACACATGGTTTATCTCTCTGTTACTCTCTCTACAATTACATCACAAACACATGCATTCACACACAGTCAAACCTACTTATATCCCCTAATAGCACAGACATACTTGAAAATGAATGCTAACAACTGAAAAATATGAAAGAAACATCTCCACCAAAAACTTGTATCAACGAAACAAACTTGTGTCATCCATTTTGCGCTAGCTGTGGAAAACTGACAGAAATCCCCATGAAAGGGCATCATATGCCCAACAAGGTCTTTATATCTTTCTCCCCTTTAAACTACCAATAAGACATGAAAGACCTCCTTACTTTGTAGCCTTGGGGGAACATGCCCTCCAGTTCATCATCTGACAAGGGTCTGTTCCTCTCATCAATCTCTCTCTGCCAGGAGAAAGCCTGCAGCTGTTCTGGTGTCATCGACATCAGGTGACCTGGTGTTGGAGTAGCCATACCCATGGCCTTTGACCCTGTGGGGGTGACCCCACTGGGGGTCATACTCGGGGTCATGCCGCCAGGGGTCATGTTAGGTGTCATGCCGCCAGGAGTCATGTTGGGTGTCATCCCACCGGGTGTCATACTCGGTGTCATGGCAGATGGGGTGGCAGCCCCTGGTGTTTCATCCCACCTTGACCGACGTTTGCTGGCCCCTGGGGTTGGTGTGCTCTCTATCAAGTCACCGCCACGATCTGTCTTGGGGGTTTCTGCCCAGCCACTTCCATGTCCAGGTGTTTCTATAGATGAAAGCAAAAGCAAAATATATCAAAGGTCAACGAAGAGAAGTCTCTTAACATGTATAATAGCTTGACACGGAAAAAGAAACTCCAACAAACTAGCAAGTTCCGCTCTTAATGAACCTTTCTCTTCCCCCGTGCCATACCCACAGTGTAACAGCTTTTTACTCGCAAAAAGCCGCCCAAATTTATTTCTCCAATGCTTAATCTACAAAAAATTCCTTCCGCTCCCCACATAAACATCATCTAACATACAGGAAATCTGGCGGTATATGATGTGCACACAAGACTTAAGATAGTTGGAAATTTAAATTGACCCTTACATAAAACAGAATATAACTATAAGATAAATAATTAAGAGGACCATAAAAAAACAAGGGCATACAATTGCTAGAAAAGCATGAGATATAACTTTCCAAACATAAAATACACAAGGAGCCTAAAATTCAGTGAGGCCATTGGCTGATGAGAGAAAAAGAAAAACACAAAAGTCTACCTCTTTCTGTTTTTGGAGTTTCATCCCATCTGTTCTTCCTGGCGCTGGGAGTGCCTTTGTGTCCTGGGGTCTCCTCTCCTCTCCCTGGTGTCACCGCGCCAGGTGTGGCATGACCTGGGGTTGCATCCCACGCTCTTGTACTGGGAGTAGCACCTGGTGTTTCCGCACCTACCAAGTGAGAGACACACATGGCAAAATTATCATAAAGGCTAAACAACCCATCATTAACACATATACTTCTGTCTTTCATTTAGAACTTTTGAAAAGAAATTCTACTGATAACTTTTGACTCAGAAACACATGATGGTGAAATACCACAAGAAACACACAACATTGAACCAAACCATTGACAGGTACACACTGAACAATACAACTGAATGCTAAAATGAGCTGTTCATGGAATCATGGACAATCACCTAAATATGTTCCATTTTACACCACTACTCTTTTAGAGCAGGCATTTTTGCTTATGACCTCAGGGGAAAAAAAGCTCACCCGAGTTAACATTTACTCTTCTCTCAGCACAATTTACTTCATCTGATAAAGAGAACACCAGAATAACTGCCAATCAAAATATACAGAACAGAGAGCCTTAAAAAACTTTCTAAACAACCAAAGCATACATACAGATGGGGCCCACACATATGAACAAGTCTTTCTGCCAGAAAGCAAACAGCAAGCACAAATGAAACTGAGATAATTCAAACCTTTAGCTCGTCCTGGAGTTTCGTCCCAGCGACTGTTAGAAGGTGTACCCGCTTCTGCAGCATCCCAAGAAGACTTCTTTTTGGCTGGAGTTTCGTCCCCACCACCACCAGCTTGATCCCAACGACGCCGTTTTGCAGGCTGTTTCTGTGCTGCCTCTGCCCCGTTCACCACTTTAAGGTCCCCAGCCTTTGCCTTTTCCTGCATCTGTTGTCGCAAGCCAGCCTACAGAGAAAACAGGAGAGGAATGACATTTACAAAACTCATATAGCAAAGAGTGAGTTGATTCACAACGCCTGGGGCATAGGCCATAATTAAGAAATTATAGCCATATCTAAACTCTAAAAATGTCCATGGTAATATTCCAAATCTGCGCTCTATAAAACGAATACCATAAGAACTTGCCCTGTCGCAATAAGAAAACAATATTCAAATTCAGAGCGAGTGGAAAAAAATTGTAAATTGGTGAAATTATGTCTCCGAGGCTGTATGATCAAAACCAAAACAAAACATATGTTAACAAAATGAAGTCACTTTAACTTACATGCTCTTTTGTAAGGGCTCTTTCTGCCATCACATCTTGATATGTCCGTCCAATTCGTGAAGGGTCCGGTGTTTTTCCTCCTGTAATTAGAAAGCACAGGGGTCACGACAGGGCCGTGACAGAAGGTTTGATTAGAAAGGATGAAAAGAAAAATGTTTAATTACAGGAGATGAAAACTAAAATAGCCCACCCCTTTATACAAATGTGTATTTTCTTTGTGAATCTGATGGTTTGCACAATTTTTTAACTTTTCGACAAAATATATTTCTTGCAGCAATGACTACTTTCAACCATCAGATCCATTGACTGCCTAAAGAATATGTGCCCTGAAAAAAAATTCTCTACAGAAATTAAAAGAGAACTTCAAACATGATATAAGTGAATGACTTCAAAGGAGCAAATTTAAAAATTCAAAGAATCCTGTGCTCTATGCAAAACAATCTGATAAGCAGGAATTGAACTGTTCATTCCTCACTTATTTTATCTCTCCTTTCATAATGCCAAGCCTTTATTGGCAAGGCCGTGACGCTAAACCCTTATTGGCAGTTCGTACTTGTCAGTCACAGCAGGGCAGTGTTGTCAATCCCATTCCCACTAATTTTGATTTTGTCTTGAACAGTTACAAAATTTGCTCCTTTAGACAAGTAACAAACACAATGAGTATGAGCGTGGATGGACAAGATGATGATGAAAATCAGACATGAAAAGCGAAAGGGCAACATATTCTCCAAACAGCAAAGTTCACTCTGGCAAACCTTAATTTCGAGTGAGGTCCCACTGAAATATTTATCATAGCTGCTACTTAATGGAGGTCAACTACCTTGTACAGCAGTATATCATTAAACGAGAAAGAGTTTGCCAGAGCTAGGGGAACAAACCTCTAGACTTGCTTTACTCATACATACGCTGTTTGCAAGGAGGCAATCTCTGCGACGGGCTTGGCTGCAAACTTATGAAGCTGGAAACCTAAAATTAGTTTTTGTCATTAGTGTAGTGATGATAGGACCTTAGCCGGTAGTGTGACACAGCTTGCATACAGTTTCATTCACACCATCTTTTCCACATTATCTCATTATATTTTTCTTTAGGCGTGTGTAAATTCAGGCCATTGCAGCCATTTTAACACTAACAAGGAAATATGCTCACTAAAAAACTGAACATCTTTGAATCTTTAAATGCAAACACATAATAAAGACACAGGAGCTGAATTTGAAAATAACGCTGCTTTCAATTTAAACAGAATCAACACTCCATTCATATATCATACACACACAAACATGATCATTCTTAAACCCATGAACCGAGAAGCTATGGACAGCTTTTCAGGGCGAGCGCTCGAGGTCTTCAGCAGCTTTTGAACACGGCTAGAGAAGGAAAGGTTGGATTGGTATTAGACTTCGGCTTCGGCAGTGGATCACACAATCATAAAACAACAGCTAAAGGTCATGAATGATGTCGGAAAACAGTTGCGATCAACAACAACAACAAACTACAACAAAGGTGACATGGTTTGATAATGGTTCAACAATCAGTATGTATTCAAACCAAACAAATATTCTCTGATACACCTCTACCACAATTCCCAGGGTCATGATTAAATATGTACTCCTTCAGAGACATTCAACTTCATAGCACGTTCCCTGACAGGGACTGTCAAACTTATGCTAAGGGCACAATAGTTTTCAAAATAAAAACTGACCGTAAATCAGTATAAGCACATGTTCTTCAAATCCAAGAATTTCAACCCCAAAACACTAACTGAAAAGATGAACCACGAAGAGAAATCCTGAATGTTATAATTATCCATCATTTCCTCTTGCTTTCTATATCTGGAAAGACCACAATCTTACTTAAGATTTATAAATTTACTCCATAAGCCTGCTACTTCTTTTTTGCCCCCCAACTCCCTCTTTCCTTCAAGAAATAAGTATAAGCTTAAAAATCCCATGATATGACTCATTAAATTATTTATCCAACAGTCTTAAATGGGAATAGAAAATACAGAATACACCCACACAATACCAATGTCTCTGAAGTATATGTATTGATGAATTACAAGTATGGTGATGCAATCATCACGATACGATACAAGAGAAAAAAAAAAAGCAAGACAGTAGACAGAAATAGTAGAGCAAAGAAACAGGATTAACTTACTGTGTGGTAAACCATACGTCAGTAAATTTCATGAAATATACACACAGAAAAAGCTGGTTTTATTTTGTAACACAACAAAAATCATAAACCATTATAACACCAGGAAGCAGACAATTACCTTGAGCAAAAGGATCATATCGCTCAGGTGAGATGATCATCTGACGTCTTCGTGCTCTGTACTCATCTTCCCGATCTGCTATTTTGGGGATTCTGTGCTCTGCCATTGGGTCAAAGTCCTACAAGACAAACCAAAACAGCTTTTAAGACACAAAACCATGATTAACAGAAATACTAATTTATAGTTCAAAAGCAATTTTTTATGATTTTATACCACTGGAAAAGAGAAGGAAGCAAAGATAAAATAGCTTCCATTTGTGTTGGCAAGAACTCTTATTCTCCATAAAAAGCAATGTTAAATCGAAGCAACACATCACTATTAGTGCATTAAATTCATAAGTCGATTCAGGAAAACTAGTAGCACAAAATTGTGACCTATCAAACACAAAAGTAGCTTCAGGGTTGTTGCTTTTTTAATTTACATATTTTTGTTAGTCTCATGCAGCAATAAGCTTACAAAAATTTAAAATTTAGATCCAGGTTTTGCCTTATGTTATATAATATATGAGATCTATATCCAGCAATAAATTTACATCACAGGGAAAAAAACAACAACACCAAAAAATGATAAAACAAAAATATTCATGAATGGATACAGTTTCAGTAGCTCTACAAATAAATGTATAGTCTATAGTGTTTGCCTGTCAACTTGAAAGTCTGAAGTTCAACCCCCCAAGTGTAAGAATATTTCTCAGGTTTTTTACACCCCCTGAACTGAAGGCAAATTTTTTTTTTTAAATATAGGTGCTTATACGCGCCCATTGACACAATTTAGATCACTAAGGAGGTAGGCTTCAACCCTGCTTGTCAGGTTCAGGGATACAACATCAAAGCAGATAGAAAATAAAAATTCTCCCTCCACAGGAATCAAACTCAGGTCTTCTGCATGCGACAGACAATCAATCCTATGGTAGATAGGAACGAGCATCTAGTCTTTTCAGATAAGAATGAAAAATTTCAGAAACCATAGCCTAGTGTGAAAGTTCCACATATATATATATATATATTAGGTACCCACGGCAGTTAAAAAAAAAGAAAGAAAGAGTAGCCCCTAGATAAATGGCACAAGGGCAACCACTGAGCAATATTCAAAATTAATTCCTACTCAAATCTGAACCCACTCTCAACAGTATTGATATTAAGAGCAGCTACAGAAAATAGCACATGACAGCCTGTCAAGCTCGGAATGATCCTACATTCTATGTAGATAGACCAGCCGTGTTCCAAAAGTGTGAACTGGCTATGAAAATTAATCCTCAACATTTCTGACCCCCTGAAGACGCACGTGCAGGGACTCAAAATCTATTAATCATTCATACTGTCTAATACTAATACCATCTCGTATCAAGACGTATTTTACATAAAGTCCTGTAACATTAACAGGCAAAATTCAGACAATGTGCATCATCTGCACTGTGAAATGTTGATGATCTAAAGTCACAGTTACTCCCCGAGTTCTAGCAGAGGTATAAGAAGAAGAACAAAAAGAGGCACTGACAACTGCGTGGCATTACCTTATCATTGGCAGTTTCGTGCAGCAAATTGAGTGGAGCAGTGTAGTTTGACTTTTTCTGGTACACTGCAGTAACATCATCATCATCCTGAAATACAATGAATGAATACTTTAGACACTGTAGTAAAGAATTTAACTCAACTTAAAAGCTTTAACACATCACCTTTCCTTTAGATAAACAGCTACAAAAGAAAACAAAGAAAAACTATATATTTTTTAAAACACAAAACAATCTTGTTTAAAACTGATGATAACAGGGGGAGTTTTAATTTGACATAAATGCACTATTATATTTTTTGTGTCAGCTGTATGGAAATTGTGATTTAGACCTTGCTGAAATTAAAGTATTTAAACAACCAACATTTCAAATTGACAAGAGAGAGATCAAACTCTTTATTACACAATATAATAATAAAAATTAATTATACTATAAAGAGACCATTAGTGGTTGATCCGTATTTCATTATATACAAACTCATATTGTACTTTAGTGACACAAAATAAGAAATCAGTTTGACAAATCATGAAGATATCACGAGACTCAACTCACATCTGCTTCATCATTAGCAGCGATGGAGGTAACGTATCCTCCATCATATCTATTTCCTCCTCCATAAATGTCTGTATCAAAGTGACCCTCAGATCCGAGGCCAACTCTCTCCTCTTCAGATACCTCAGAGACAAGCTTCTGCTTCTTAGCTTGCAGATTCCTCACTGTTTCTTCAATTTCTGAAAATAAAAACATTTGTGTAAACATGATTACTTCATGATGTTTCTTATAATATAGGCCTGCCTAATATAACTAGACCTAATCAACCAACCATGTACCACCAGACAATCAGTCAAGAAAATGTACAGAAAGTAATGAGCGAATAGTTTGTTGGAACCTTGAGGTGACTCCAGATGTAGTCTACTTTCCATCCCCTCTCAATATTTGACAAACCCTCCGAGTCCGAACCCCAACCTTTAGCATTAAAAACCAACAAATGTGAATAAAATGTTTCAAAGTGGAGGATTGCCATGAGCAGAACTGTATCTGTAGTAGTGTATTAACCCTTGTCCTGCGGGATCTGGGTTAATGTTCCTCGATAAGCGTATTTCAGCACCTCGCCTTCCGTCCCGTAACCGCCCAGCCCTGGCTCAGCGCACGCATGCCTATTTTCACCTCCTTCCACCCCTCTTCGCACCTTAGCTTTCTTCCATGTTCTCTTGTTTCTCCAAACGACTTTTGTTTTCAAATTGTCAAGTGTTGCCGGGTCTGCACACGGGAAGAGAATCAAAGCTGTGTTCCGCGCGATGAGCGAGTGAGACCTTGTCGACCGCGGCTGTTTTGCTGTGTTCGCCTTCGTTTTCCGTAACCGTTGCATGCGGTGGTCCGCAGCAATATTTTTCACGCGAGTATTCCTGTGCTGTTTCCTCATTCACTTTGAACTTTGAGTGATCGTAGCATTTCAGTTGTGCCTCTAGAGCTGTGCCAATGGTGGATGAATCAGGGTGCCGTGAATAGTAGTTAGTCTCATCATCGATTAACACACCCCCACGCCCCACAATAATCACGGAGAAAACATACTTTTCCAGAAGTTCTCGCTCTACTCCTCTCTCTCTCTCTTTTCACTGCCCACAGAAAAAATTGCACGCTTTTAGGCTAACACTAACAGTAGTAATAGATCTAGAACATTTGTTCACGGCACAGAATTCTACAGAGTAGAATTCTGTGGTTCAGGGTGAACGCTTCACTGGTTGGCCTAGGCTTAAAACGGTGAACGCCCACCGTGTGAGAATAGCCAGAAGACTCGCCTGCACTATTCTCACCCGGGGTGAGAATAGAGGTGGCCTAAAAGTACACAGTGACTCTGGCGGCCCGCCAGGAACGTCCGACGTAAGAAGTTACTGATACTCGCATCTTGGCACAGACGCAGGACAGGAGTTAAGTCTAAATCAAAAGTGAGGACAAACAAGAGTCTCTCAAAGAGAGAGTCAGAGAGTGGTATTTTCTTGTGTAGGGCCTACACAATCGAAGTGACTATTCCGACTCGAGTCCGAATATGAAAAAATGTTATTCGGACTCTGATTCTTGTCCAGCATGACATCACTGCCGACTTCCTGTGACTCGTGACTCCGGCTTCCTGTCCTGCCTCACTCGTGACTCGCCTCAGGCTGGGTAGAGACCAGGATCACTTCGGGCAAAATGGCGTTAAATTGTGCAGGAGCCGAGTTTTTATCTTATGATGAATTTGAGGCCGGCCTGAAAAGTTATAGCGCTTTCCTAATAAATGTTTATTTGTCAAAAGGTCATCAGAAGCAATTAAAGATGGCTCGTTAAAGTGTGTCGGGGTCGGATGGGCAGCCTGCACACGTGTGGCTGTGTGCGTGTCGGGGAGGGAGGGCACTATCGGTCCGGGCATTGAACGTCGCATACGCGTCAGTCTCCCCCCCCCCCTCCCGGCAACTGATCATTACAATAATAAGCTAGTCTTGACGTAGATCTACGTAATGAATTGTGCGCTGGTCTATGGAATCAAAAGTTGCTGTATGCTCGGCTCTACACTCTACACAGCAACACAACTTTTTCTTGGTAAAACAATCGAGATGACACAGGCTTGTGTATTTGAACGAATCGGTCTTTTTTTTTTTACACAGCTCATAATATGCAGGTGCCAGGTGATCTGCTAATCTTAAATTTTACCTTTTTCTACAAAACAAAGAAAGTGGGAAACATGGGCCTTGGGCTTGGGGGGTGGGCGTATCAATGAGGCGGCGGGCATCGGATCGGCAGATAAAGTGTGGGGGAAACTAAAAAATGGCGGAAAATTGGAAGCACTGAACGTTAGATCTATAGTACGAAGACACTTCCTTTTTTCCAGACCGTGTCCGAATAACATTTTTTCATATTCGGACTCGAGTCCGAATATTAATTTTTTTATTCGGAATCGAGTCCGAATATGAAAAAATGTTATTCGGACTCGAGTCTGAATAATGACGGCCCTACACAATACACCAGGATAAAAAAAGGTGGTGCAGCCTTAGATCTATCTAGACTAGATCTAGCTAGAATCTAGATAAATTCTAGGAAGGAATTCCGTTACGTGTGACCACTAAGAAACAGATAGAATAGAGGAATAGGGTTAGAGTTAGGGTTATGGTTTGTGGTAGGGGCAAGGGTTGGGTCACTCGGGCGATTTTGTAGTTTCGTTCGTTAAAGTCAAGAGATGGGGGGTTTCAGGGGGGCTTGCCCCCCTGACCTAATAAAAAATAGAGGTGGGGGGGTTCAGGGGGGCATGCCCCCCTGAATTCTTTCCTAATGTGATGTTCTAAAGTTAGGTTGCATCCCTGCTCTTTGTGCAGCCTATTTCAAAGAGTATTTGGTCATCAAGAATTCTGGATTTCTTCTCTGGATGTAAACAATCAAAAGGGTCGTGGACTTTAACGAACGGAACTACAAGTTACAAGATCACCGTCACTCGGGTTAGGGTTTGTCTTGAGTCTAGAATCTAGAACTGGAATGTACACGTAGGCTGAGTGTGAAAGTAATGATAGGTCGTGGGGTCGACTAAAGTCTCAGAAATCAATCCTCTTTGGTTAATCAGTTAACTTGGAGTTTGAAGGCTTAGACTTCGTTGCCTTTCCTTTACTTCTTTAGTAGTAGCCTTGGTCTGGCAGTTCTCAGCTCCAGCTCTAACACCTTGGCCTCATAAAATCATCTGCATGATTCTAAAACAAAGCAAGATCGAATTATAAAGGTTAAACGGTAACTCTTCCGTAACATCTGAAACAAAATTAAATAAAATTTAATGGGTAAGAAAGGGACAGGGCAAGTGTATGCCTTTCCAAACCTTCGTGTGTTGTCGCCGCCATCTTGAAATGTACAGGAGACGGGCAGGCAGGCACTGCAAGCAAACGTTTACAAAACAACAGTCAGGATTTTAGATTTCACGGAGACTGTGTTAGTGGGTGAAAATATTGTGCGAAAATCTAATATAAAAATGACCCAATAAAATTCATTTGTACTTTGATGATATAGATCTTAAGGATAGAAATATATATATCAAGAATGAATGATTAATAAAATTATTAGTTCTTGCGAGTGATCTTGAGCACCGAAAATTTCAAACATTGGTAACAAAAAATACAATTTGGCAACCTATACAGAGCCATACCCACAATGCAACACTGCTTTCTCTGGCTCGGGATCACTCGGCACTCGGCCCGGACGGAGACCGTAAGCCTAATGACTCGGCCTTGAGATGCCTGTAGTTCTATTAATAGACCAAAGCATTGAGGCTCAGAGCTTTCTGCTGTCATGTCAGCTGGATCTACACAATTTTTGTGTGAAACGGTAAACAAAACAAAACAAACACGCAAAAAATGTGCAGGAAAATTTGATTAGAATTGAACAAGCTCTGAACTG